GGCCCTGACTTCCTCCTTTTCCTGTAAGGCCCTGACCTCCTCCCCCTGTAAGGCCCTGACCTCCTTCTCCCCTGTAAGGCCCTGACATCCTCCCCCTGTAAGGCCCTGACTTCCTCCTTTCCCTGTAAGGCCCTGACCTCCTCCCCCTGTAAGGCCCTGACCTCCTTCTCCCCCATATGGCCATTTGACTACCAGAAAGCCATCCCGCCCTTCCTCACATTAGCATCCAGCCTAGCATTCTGCCCAAGAAGGGTGAGGTGGGATTGGGACTGAGGGATAAGAATGGAGGGTGGGTCATGATAGGGACATTTGAGGCTGTCCAGGGGGAGGTGCCAGGACCTCCATGGGTGGGGAATATGGAAAGACAGGGAGGGACTCTGGACACACACCCACTCTCTGATCAAGCCTGATCCCTTGTGAGGTTTGCAATAACAGAATCCCCTCCTTTCTATCTTTCCTTCCCTCCAGGACCAGGCACCTCAGAACTGTCACTGTTCCTGTGGTCTCTAATGGCTGTTACTAACCTGTCCTGTCTGGAGGGACCAGGGTAGCTGCAGGTCTGCGACCTCCTGGAGGAAAACAAAGATGAAGAGCATCCATAAAGCACTAGTTATTAACACACACAAAACATCTCAAAACGCCCATCCACTTCTGAGATGCTTTGATTCTGTGAACAAGCTACAGATAAATTTTGATAAAATCTGGGAGGCTGGAGGAGCCCTTAGGTGAATCCTTTCCTTATGCTTATGGGGAAACTGAGGCCCAGAGGCCACGGTCATAGAGTAATAGAGAAGGCATCAGAATGAGCAACAGCAATTTCTCCCGCAGTATCTCAGACATGGTTTTATCCAGTCTTGGCTTGACCTAGAACCCCTGGTGAAGAACTAACTAATTCTCTTGCTAAACTAAAAAAAACACACCATTGCCATCTAGTTGATTCTGACTCATAGTGACCCTACAGGACAGAGTAGAACTGCCCCATAGCGTTTCAAAGGTGCGGCTGGTGGATTCAAACTGCCGACCTTTTGGTTAGCAGCCAAGCTCTTAACACTGCACCACCAGGGCCCAGTCTTTTGCTAGATAGCTTAAACTATTTGAGATCTCCTTATTCTGAGCAGAAATCTAAATTCTTGTCTTTGTTTGGCCTTCTAGGCTCACACAGACCAAATCTGTTTCTTCTGGATTTGGATGTCAGAAACAAGATCGAACAAATCTTAGCACGTGGGAGCAATGGGTGAATTTTAATAGGAAAAAGACCAACAAAAATTGAAGGGGCTTAAATGATTACTTGCATAAAGAGAGAGTGCATAGCAGCTCATGTGAACAAGGCCTGAGAGTTTGAGTAGATCCCAAGTTCAGCATGACCTAACAGTGTGACAAGGCAGGCACAAGGGAACGGGAGCTCAGGTTGCGTTATTGGGAGCACTAGGTCCATTTAGATTGAAGGAGGAGGGTGTTCCACACCTTCCCTGCTCAGTGGACAGTCTTGGAGTCAATTCTGACTCCATCCACAAACTGGAGCATCTACTGAGGAAGGCAGTTGAAATGGCAAGGAATTTAAAAACCAAAATATAAGAGGAATGATGGAAAGAGCTGCAGATGTTTAACTTGCATGAGCGATGACTTAAGGGAGACCATGATCTCAGTCTTCAAGTATCTGAAGGGCTTTCTCATGCGGAAGGAATTAGACTTCTGTGAGCTTCAACAGTCAGAATTAAGACTGATAGGAGGTAGATACAGACTTATTATGAGGACAAAGAGTAATATTGCTACTTTTTATTAAGGACCATTGTATGAGGCATGTATATACACCATTTTATTTAATCTTTGCAACAATCCTGCGAGGTAGGTATTAGGATCCCCATTTTACAGATGAGGAATCCAAGACTCAAATGCAGTAAGTAATTTTCCCAAGATCACACAAGTAACTTCCAGAGTAGGATTCAGACCCAGGCCTGATGCTGGAGTTTGGTTAGTTCTCCATCTGTGGCTGCACCCAAACCAAGACTGAGTAAACCTCATCCTCTCATTCTCTTTCCGCCACATTGGGAAGCCTGTTTGTAACAGCTCAGGAGGCAGCCCTATCATATTTCAACAACTGAAAAGGGCTGGTTGCCCCTGAAAGGGATATTTAGGGGATTTTGGCTCCTGGGGGGTGCTGGACTAAGATGCCATAAGGTTTCCCCCATTCGTATTTGATTCCCTATTGTCTGCCTCGAAAATATCTGAATGTGAGAGTGTCTCTGGTGTTGCTGAAGGTGGCCTCATCCACACACCCATGTGACCATCTAGTTCTCAGTCCTTCATTTCACATCCAAGCAACTGTGAGAAGCTTTGCCAAAGACCTTGCAGATGTCAAAATCTGTTAATTCAAAGGGCAGTGTGGAGACAACACGGTGGCTGCATGGGAAACAGCATGGATCTTGAAGTCAGATTGACTTGAGTTTAAATTTTGGTCATATCATCTATGATGTAACTTGAAAAAGCCTCGCTGACACACACACACACACACGCACACACACACACGCACGTACACTTTTATTGACTTTCTTTATTCTCTTTTTCTATCACCTCTGAGCTCCCTAGATTTGTCTTAGCTTTACCTGGTTTTATGAAGACCTTCTATACCACAACCCCATCTTGTCTCTCATTTCCAGCCTGATCCGTGACCCCAAGTGACCAACATAGAACTCAGAGAAGAGCTGGGATTCTCCAGGGCTACAATAGCGAAGCTCCAGTTCCTGGAGAGAGAGAGAGAGGTACTATGTAAGAAGCCACCATTCATCTTGCAAGTGAGGCTTTTTCCACCCAACACTTTTCTGGCCCTTCTCAATCCCATAGGGATACTCTGATTTAGTCCTGTACCATAATCAATCGGAGCCTTCAGATTCTGCTCTTTTCCTAATTTCCTACAGTCCTGACTCCGAACCAGGCTCATCCTTAAAAGTAATGCTCACACACCCTAAACCAGATTCTTCTCCCTCCATCTTTAACCAGGTCCTTCTCCCTGTTTCCCCCATCTTGAACTAAAACCCTCATTCCTCCAGCCCAAAGGCTATCTTCTCAATGGATCCTAAACTTTACCAACTTTCAGTCAACAGAAAATTTATATCCATCCTCTTTCCTAAATCACATTGAAGACAGAACTCTTGATTCCCAACTGTCTTCCAAACAATCTCATCCCCCTTTCCCCCCATACTCGGTATATGGCACCACCATCCACTGAGCACTCAGGTTCCAAGTTCAGGCACAGTTCTTGACTTCTTCCTTTCTTTCCCCATATACAGCCAATCCACCAAGTCCTGTTGGATCTATCTCCAAAATATACCCCAAATCCATCAACTTTTCTCTATCTCCACTGCACCTCCCTTGTCAACCCATAAAACTGGTTGCTGTTGAGTCGATTCTGACTCATAGCGACCCTATAGGACAGAGTAGAACTGCCCTATAGAGTTTCCAAGGAGCAGCTGGTGGATTTAAACTGCCAGTCTTTTTTTGGTTAGCACTCAAACGCTTAACCTCTGTCACCATCAATTCTTGCAACAGCCTTTCAACTTATCTCTCTGCTTCCACTCTTGCCCCCTCATAATCCATCCATTCTCCACCCAGCAGCCAAAGGCTTCTTTATGAAAGTAAATCAGGTCTTGCTTTAACCATGTTTCATACCCTGCAAAGCTTTCTATTGCACTTAGAACAAAATCCAAACCCCACATCAGCGCCAACAGGACAAACAAGCCTTGGGAGACTTTTACCTCTTGTCTGACCCCATCTTTCTCTTCTCTTTCACCATACTCACTAAGCCCTGCCACACTGGCCTCCTTTTTGTCACCTGAAGGTGTCAAGTTTGCTCCTACCTCTATGCCTCTGCACATGTTCCTTCTGTCTAAAATGCTCTACCACAAATCTCCAGGTGCCCGAACCTTCTTGTCACCCAGGGCTCAGCTCAAAGATCACCTCCTCAGGGAGGCTTCCCCTGACCACCCAGCCTAAGGTAGCCCAAGTCACTCTCTTGCATGACCTTGTTGTATTTTTTTCACAGCACTTCGTAGTACTCGATCATTATTTTTTAAAATTATTTACTGTAGGTCTCATCATACCAGGATGAAATCTTCACAAGGGCAGAGATTAACCTGTTTTGTTTACTGGAATATCCACAATGCTTAGGACAGCACATACGTGGCACTTGATAAATATTTGTTGAATGACTGAATCATGTCTCTCATCCCTTATTAACAGCTGACAGCAGTAAACTTCAAGGTATTGATCCTTGGATTCATGTTTCCCAACTGAAAAGATACACATCCCTTTCTCCTAACTAAGCTAAAAACAGTTGCCATCAAGTCAGCTCTGACTCATGGCAACATACTGGCTGTGACCTTTTAGAAGTAGATTGCCAGGCCTTCCTTCCAAGGTGCCTGTAGGTGGGTTTGAACCACCAACCTTTTGGTTAGTAGTTGAGTGCTTAATCATTTGCACCACACAGTGACTCCATTCCTCCTAACTACTGGGCATTTATTCCATCTGCAGACCTTAAACTGAGGATTCCTAAGAATCCTGGCTTCAGAAATGAAAAGCTTCTGTTCAAGAAGAACAAGATTAATTTTTCTAATCCCTCAGCACCCTTTCCTATCCCTTTATTCTAGTATAATCTTTGCTTATTATTCTATTTTGATACCCTTTAAAACACTAATCTGATCTCCCTTATCTCCATCCTATTATTTCTAACTCATCTATGGTCTCCTTCTAGCACTTAAGCAAGAACAAAATTCTCTTATACATTTTTTCTAGACCATAGCCAATGCTCTGAATTTAGTTAAATTTAGTTAAATTGCTGGATCTATCACCCCCTACCTGACCCCGTTGACAAAAATTTAATAGCTAGCCAAAGACGAATCTGTGCTATAGCGAATACTTCCTGTTGCACCTATAAAAATACTACAGGGCAAGTAGAACAGTTTGTGACTAGGGAGAAAACAAAGCAAGCCTCCTGGCTTTCTAAAACAGACCCATGTGGATTCTGGGACATGATTTAGATCCCTGGTTTTGACAATTGTTGCAAAGACTAATAGTCATTATGCTTCTGATCATTGCCTGTGTTGTAGTTGGCCGATGTATCCCGTCCTGCGTCCCAAATATAAATGCACAACCATTGTTACATCAGATGGTTCAATAACTCATAACAGAAGGAGAAAGGAAGATTAACTCTGATTCGACTATAGACCACGTTCAATGGTCACACCTCTGATCCTAATGAGCAAAAGCTAAGTAATGGGGAAGATCTAGATATTATGAGTGGATGTCCAGTGGCCCAACTTCATCTGCCTTGACCAAAGGGAGTGGTGGTGGATGGGAAGGGGGAGAGTGGGAGTTGAGAATGAAACAAAAAGCAGCTCCCGATGTCCCGGAACTGATCCGATACAGCTAGACTTCAGTGCTTCAAAGTTGTTACAAACTCGTCTGATGCTTATAGCTAAGCCATGTTATTCTCCTGTTGGACGTAAGCAATGTCACAGAACATCCATTTCAGACCAGGTCACTAGGCAACCCAGAAAATACCAAACACCAACCCCTCCTCACTAAACGGATGACTGCTACTTCTTGAGCAATTGCATATTTATCCTTGGTCTAGTCTGCCCTCTCTATATGCTTATTGAGATTTATTAAGATTCCCACTAATAGAATTGCCCTTGCTTCTTGGCAGCACCCAATCTAGAATGAATCTCTGTTTTCTTAACTCTTCCCAACCAAGGCCCACATCCTATCATAGGTTCTTTCTAACACCCTCTTACTGAGTTGCCCCATGATTCCCCAGGGTGTGTGTTCAGCTTCACTGCAGTGAGTCATAGACCCAACATGTTCAACTACAGGTGTGTTCCTGGGGGTTATTGACTGGAGGGCATTGATATCTTATAATGCAGACACTTCTCAGTCCTCTTGTTCTGAATTGATTTGTATCCCCCAAAAAGATATATTCAAGTCCTAACCCCTGGTACTTGTGACTTCATTTGGAAATGGGGTCATTGAAGATGTAATTAGTTAACACGAGGTCATGTTGGAGTAGGGTGAGCCTTAACCCAGCGTGACTGGTGTTCTTACAAAAAGAGAAGAAGTAGTGACACAGAGACAGACACTTGGGGAAGATATCTATGTGAAGACAGAGGCAGAGATTGGAGTATGCTGACACAAGCCAAGAGTTGCCAAGGATTGTTGGCCATCACCACAAGCTAGGAGAGAAGCATGGCGTCTTTAGAAGGAATTAGCACTACTAACACTCTGAGTTCAGACTTGTAACCTCCAGAACTGTTCAAAAATACATTTCTGTTGTTTGAAGCCACGCAGTTTGTGGTATTTTGTTATAGCAGTCCCAGGAGACTAATACAGCTCCCAAGTCAAAACTCATCGTCCTCCCTATCCTAGATGTTAGACTCCCTAACTTCCTTTCGCCCACAGTCTTTGAAACATTCTGTTCACCCCAAACCCCACTCGCTTTCTGCCTAACCCTAATTCACCCCATCCCTGGGAGAGCTCTGATTCCTGCCCTACACGCTGTTTATTCCCAAGCAGGATTTCTGATCCCAGAGAGGGGACGAACATCTGGGCTGCTCACCTCAAGGATCGTTTCTAGGTTCTCCAAGTTGGACACAATGTAGTGGGAGCCCATGTAGAGTGGGGTCAGTGGGGGTGGCTTGTGTAATCGCACAAACTGGAACTTCTCTATCATCTATGGCCTAAGGAACATACAGAGCAATGATTAAAGGGTAGGGAGGAGAGGTGTCTGGCTCAGAGATTTGTCCCTATGGAGTCTGGTCTGAATAAGGTGAGAGGTTCTTCAGTGTGTTTGTGAGAGAGATGGGGGTATAGCACCTTGACATCCCTATCCCCCATGTACTGCTGTACAGACAGCCCCACACTTGGCCTCTGCCATGTTTGGGGTGGTAATATGGGCATTGCTAGAGAAGAAGAGAGAACAGGGAAAGGCTAGAGTTCTGGGCATGGAGCCCTCCCATCCTTTGGCTCCTGGAAAGAGGCTGCAAAAGTTCATCCATAGACAGCAATGGAGCTGCAAGTCCAGCCTGGGGAGGCCAGTGGGGGGAGTGGAGACCAGTCCATGGTTGAGCAAGGGGCAGGGTCATTGGCCCTTGTCAAGCTTCCCACTTATAAGAGGTGCTCCCAGTTGAGGATCTGTCTAGGGGGCTCTCTGGCTGTATTGCATGTTTGCCATCAGCCTACCCTGGCTTGGCCTTTCTGGCTATAAGAGTCACCTTCCGAATGGAGTAGTCACTGGGGATCAGGTAGAGGTGGAAGGTGACTTCCTCATTGTGGAAGTGTTGGTAGAACAACACAGTGGAGAAGATGGGGATGAAGCTCAGGGCAGCATGGATTATTCTCAGTAGAACTCTCATGGGGGAGAAGCTAGGGTCTTCCAGGACTGTGGAAGACAGCTTTACTCTGGCTGGCTTCTCCAGGAGCATCCCCTCCTCTTTAGCGTGGGCCACTGGGAACATGGAGATGTCCACATGGCCCTCTGTCAAAGAATGGATTTAAGAGTCATATTCAGTGCCTTCACTGAATTGGGCTCTGGCTGTGCAGTAGGCTTCAAGGCTTAAGCACAGCAGCCTTCTTGGGGGAATTCACCATGGGGAGGGGAAGGGTTGAGTTTGAGGCCTTTGGAGGCTGCAGGCAATACTTGTCCCTAGGGTAGGAGCACCACAGGAAGCCCCTTGAGCCAAGCTCAAACACAGGCCAGCCCCATATTGAACATATGGTTATGAGTGGCCACTGAGTGATACTGGCAGGTCTGACTCCAGGCAGGCAGGAGCAAGAAGGAGGAAGGGACGGTGGGAAAATGGAGTGACCAACAGTTGTGTACATATTTCAAGTGTTTGGCCACCCACTATTCAAATTCTTCTTGGAAAGACCCTCCCTACACCCATTGTGTGGTTCTTGGTAGGAGGCAAGCTGAGCCTCCCCACTGAGGAAGCTGCTACTACCTGGCAGCTATGACACAGTTGCGTGATCAAGAATTAACTAAATGGGTGCTTCTAACCAGGACCTTGAGTCTAGAGAGGGTGAAGCAAAGATGAACAGACAGTTAGAGATCATTCTGGCAGTGGCAGTGTCCAGTGGCCACCATGGCAGGGAGGGTCCTGCAGTGGCTGTGTTTGCAGCAGTGGCGTCCCCAGATTTTTCTTGGTGTGACCTTGGCTATGTCCTTGGCTTCTCAGCATCCCTTGGTCACTGTCTTTATTTATTTATATTTTTTAAGCCTGTTGCCTAACCTTTTGTTAAGTCTATGCACTATGTACATTTATTTTCTGGCTTTATTAGCCAGGATTGGTATCTTTGATCGCATTCAAGAACCCAGACCAGCACTGGTGTTGGGAGAGACACTGGACTAGGTGTCAGGAGTCCTGGCTCTATCCCTGCATTGCCTAGCAACTGCCACAATGCAGGCCACTTCTGGGGCACAGGGACGTCCAGCAAGCCAGACAAGGCTCTTAGCCTGAGTGGGCACCAGTCAGAACATTGCAGAGCGATTGTATTGCAGAAAGGTCCATGGAGACCATTACTTCAGTTTCTCTTTATTAATTGCTTTTGCTGTATGAAAAATAACATAATACAGTCTGAACAGAATAAGCAAGAATTCACCTATGACCCCACCAATCAAACAATACAACTATTACCTATTTTCCTTTCCCATTACAGTCGTCCTCTGCAGGAACACATTCTCATGTTTCCCTCGTAGTACACGTAGCTTTGTCTCTTGCTGTTTCCTCATCCATTTAAATTTCACAAGCATCTGTCAGACCTTCCTAGAGACCACGCATGATTCCCGCAGGTGGATGCGGCATCCTGTAATTAACATTTTGCTTCTTGTTTCAGCAGTGAGGTTGTTTTCAGCTTCTCACGGTGACAGACAGTATTGCAATGCACATATTTCTGCAGAATTTTTCTGTTTCACTTGGGTTATTGCCTTAGAATCAGTAAGTACCGAAGAATGAGAAAAGTGTATAAAAGGACATGAAGATTTTTATGATTTGCTGTGTTTTGCCAGATATGCTGTTCAAAGAGATACTGCCATCAGCGACATTAAGTGGACTGGTGTCCCCTCGCCTTCTACCATACTGGAACTTCCTTATTGGCCAGAACAGGGAACTCTGGGGGCGGAGACAGCGATTTTCCAAAGGTCACACACCCAGCAGCAGCACTAGGACTAGATCCCCGACCACAGTCCCTAGCGTTTATAGATGCTCTGTGCCAAGCTAATTTTGGCTGAATTCTGGAAGGTTCTGTGCATCTCTAACTTACCTTCTTACTGGGGTGACTAACCATCCCAGTTTGCACAGGACGGAGGGGCTTCCTGGATGCAGGACCTGCAATGCTAAAACCAGGAAATTCCTGGGCAAACCAAGGTGAGCTGGTCACCCTACGTTTTGCACATATTGACCTTTCCACAGACTGCGGCAGAATCACTTCCTCCAGTGCTGATGCCTGACCGCATACTTGTGCAGATAGGTTGGAGAGATAAGGAAAGCAAAAAGGAAGATCCTGGTTTGAAGAGAAGAAGCTTGAGTGGTGACTGGGGCAAGTATTATTGACTGAAGGACCAGGCCTTTCTACCTTGAGTTCCCTTTGGATGGTCTTATTACGAATATTGAGAACAACCCATCACCGGGCAGGAGTATTTCTACCGCAAAGTCTGAGACCCAGGGCCCCACAACCCGTTATTAAACAACAGTTTATTCAGCATTTACAATGTGCCAGGCCCTGTGGATATACAGCTGATTCTTGTTGTTCGCAGTAGTTATGGTCTATAAAACCAAAAAAACCAAACCAGTTGCCGTTGAGTCACTCTGACTCATAGCGACCGCATGAGTGTGTCAGAGTAGAACTGTGCTCCATAGGTTTTTCAGGGGCTGATTTTTCAGAAATAGATCGCCAGGCCTTTTTTGCAAGTCACCTCTGAAAAGGTGAACTTGAGCCTCCAAACTTTTGATTAGTAGCCAAGCGCATTAATGGCTTGATCATCCAGGGATTCCACGGTGTATAAAGTCCCTGCTAACACTTGGTTAGTGGCTACTGAAACAGCGTCATTCAATTTCATCGGGGCTTTGGTCACCTCTCTGCGCATGCGCACGTCCTTGACCGCCCGCGAATGGTATTCAAGAATTTTTAGCGAATAAGGAGGTTCGCTAGTACTGAATCAGTGAATGATGAGGACAGGGAGTTACATGGGCACTGTAATTGCGGAGCTCGTGGCCCAACGGGGAAGACAGACAAAAGAACAGAACAATGAATCAAAGCATAGCAAGTGTAGCGACAGTGGGAGACCGTCGGATCCCTCCTTCTTTTCCAGCTACATGCCCAGTGTTTGCCTCAGGTCACTGCTGCTCCCACCTCCCAGGAGCCTGGGGTTCTGTCTTTTTCAGACCCTGCCCTCTGGCCTGTGTCCTGACACTGCAGCCCCGCCCTCCCTGCTGAATGTGTCGTCAGCACCTTCCAGGCTCAGGTGTGCTCTTGAGAGGTAAAGCCACTTTCCTGCTGGAGGAGGGACACAGGGACCCTCACCATGTAGAGATGGTGGCTATAGACAGCCACATAACAGAGAGGTTAGTGATACGGGGAGTTCCTGGGTGGTGCCAACAATTAACACAGTTGGCCGCTAACTGAAAGGTTGGCTGTTTGAGTCTACCCAGAGGCTCCTTGGAAGAAAGGCCTGGTGATCTACTTCCAAAAATCAGCCACTGAAACCTTACCAAGCAAAGTTCTACTCTGACACAGATGGGGTCACCATGAGTCAGAGTTGACTTGATGGCAACTGGTTTAATGACACGCACCACCCGAGTTTGACTCCTAGGAAAAACACTCACCAGATAAGAGATGCTAAGCAAATTACTTAACATCTCTGCATCTGTCAAGCAGAGCTTTCATGGTGTCCACCTGTTAAACGAGTCTGTGGCTGTGAAGTACTTGGACTAGTAGAGGTTACTTGTTACTGTTATGGATAAAATACAGCTTGACCAAGAACCATCACTTGGCTGCTAGAGTTCTGTTTTGTCCCAGACAACTTGACCCTCTCCTCCTGGTAACACTTGGGGCCTGGGAAGAAAAAGGTGTGGATATCTTTTAAGACATATTTTGCTGAACCTGAGGAGTTTCTGGACGCCATTGTTGTCAGGTTCAAAAGATGTTGATCCCAGAGAACCAACAGTTTTGAGGCACATGGGATATCATTGTGATTCCCAGTGACTGAGTCCAGGTCAGCTCCTGGTGGGCAGGGACGGGGAGAGAGAGAGGGAGGAGCTGGAAAACGAGCCCACCTAGAGTACTCCAGGGCAGTACAGACAGCGGGGTGCAAACTCACTTTCTGGGAGGAAGTCCGTGTGGAGAGCAGGGGTCTGTGTGTACAGAAGGAGATGGGCTTGGGGGGTGGGGTGAAGGGTTCAGAAGGGCAGGGCCAGCTTCATAGGTGCGTGGAACATGCAGTCATTCAGGGCCCTGTGCTCAGAAGGGCCCTGCGCTTGGGGTTTAATGCTCTGCTGTTGCTGTCTTAGGTCCCTGGGTGGCACTTGTTTACTAACCTAAAGGTTGGTGGTTCAAACCTATCCAGTGGTACTGTGGAAGAAAGGCCTGGTAATCTGCTTCCATAAAGATTACAGCCAAGAAAACCCTATGGAGCAGTTCTACTATGTAACACATGGGTCCCCATGAGTCGGAATGACTTGACGGCAAAAGGTTTGTTTTTTGGTTTGGTGCCGTCTTGAAATTTGTGATAATTTTTGAACAAGAAAACAAAAACATCTCTTGCCGTCGAGTCAATTCTGACTCATAGTGATCCTATAGGATGGAGTAGAACTGCCCCATAGTGTTTCCAAGGAGCAGCTGGTGGATTCTAACTGCTGACCTTTTGGTTAGCGGCTGAGCTGTTAACTGCTGTGCCACCAGGGCTCCTTTTGAATAAAGGGCCTCATATTTTCATATTGTGCTGGGCCCTGCAATTGATATAGCCAGTCCTGCAAGAGGAAAAGAATGCCCAAAGTTGTAAGGTCCTGGGGTGAAGCTGAGACGCTGAAAGCTCAAGGTCCTATCCATGGGAGAAACTCGCCATGGAAAGTTAATAACTCAATGTAGAACATCAGGGTGAAGAATTAGCCAGTGCCCAGGTCCTAAATCACACCTGCAATAGGGAGTGGGGTCATGATTTCCGGGATGATGAACAGCTGCCACCCAGACAGCAGGCAGCTGGGATTCCTGGAAGGGGCCCTGCCCAACTCCAGGCTTGGTTTCCTGAGCTGGGCATGGCACTGCCAACTAATAGCAACCTTTGTGCATTTTGTCTCTTGCTCTGTGTACAGAATCTAAAGGGAGTAAGTCCTGTCCAGCCACAGGATGAAGTTCGGAATGAGGTCTAGGGAACACTGGGGAACATGGGCTTGGACAGGCCTGGGGTGAGGGTGGAGCTGGTGTAGCCCTTACCCTGGGGTTAGTGGGACCCGGGTTAGAATCCATTGGCCAAGCCCCTCTCTCCCTGACAGAGCACCCAGACCCCCTGAGCCAAGGTCTTCCTTTATGGAAGAGGCAGGGTGGTGACTGTAGTGGCTATATTCATACTCTAAAATTGTCACATAGGGGAAAATAACTTGTCCCAGCTTGTTATCTGAGCCATCAGTGCCATCTGCTCAACTTTTCCCCATGTGAATGGGCCTCTGAAGCCCCCAGCAGTTATCTTGCACCTCCGTCTTCCCTGCTTTACTCTGGAACCTCCCCTAGAGAATGCCTGTATGACCCTGTCTCCTGCCTAGTCTTCCCAGCTGCCTCCGCCTGGGCTAGGATGGTATGGCTTTCCCCTTGGTCCTGGCCTGTATTTCCCTTGCCCCGCATTCTCTTCCTGGTGACAGCTTGAATCATTTGCTAGACATTTGTGGCTTCCACAAATCAGCCTTTCCTGATCTTGAGTACTGGGCAGTTCTTTGCTTTTTATTTTTCTTAGTCCGATTTCTTCTTTCCACTAGTCTGTAAATTATTACAATAAGGCATACAATTATTCATTATTATTAAGTATTATGATTATTATAATAATTACAGGAACCCTGATAACAATTTATAAATTAATAAGGATTAATTTCCCTAATATTTTCATATGCACACTTAAAGTCTAATATTAATGAATACCTGTACCTAGAGGATATAGTGAGTATATTTAACTACTGGTACAGTAATGTATAAATGAAAAATTAAAAAGGTACCTCCTTTTATTACTTAAGTAAACTACACGCATCATAAAAATGTTTACACTGGAGAGAAGCTGTCACACAAATTGTTTATCGAATCATTTTATCATCAGTTAAATGAACCTCTTGCCTGAGTCAGGATTTGACATAGGGAACTGCATCAGACTCTTGTGACGACTTTCTCATTAAATTGATAGACATTAGGTTCCTGGCACCAGCATTGACTGGGTTTGCACCTGATGCCAACTCTTCCCACAAGGCCTGATCTGGAGATCCTATGCCACAGACCCTGCCCCTATCCTGCCGCCAGTGCTGACACTCCTGCCTACCTGGGCTGATCTGGAGCAAGGCTGCCTATGCTACCCATCCATGCCTGCACCATACCTAGACCCCATCACCTGCCTCTGTGGCCAATCCTTGATGACATTGTTATATAATTTTTGGTCTCAATAAGGAGTGACTTTCTCTTTACCCATTAGTACAGAAGCATTTCAATATTTTAACAACCTGAACAGTAGTACTGGTGCATCTGACTGAATGTCAGCTTTCGCCCTCCTTCTGAACTATACAAAAATCTTAGAATTCTTTAACACTCTTTTTTGCTATTGTTGTTGGTATTTTAGTTCTCTCTCTTTTTTTAATCCCCACATATCTGACATTATTACTGGTACTTTATCCAGTCAATGTTTTGTTAGATTTACACATGTATGCATCAGTGTCTTTGCTTATTAGTCCACCTTGCACCACAGACGTTCCACGTGGGATGATTTCCTTTTGCTTGAGATACATCCTCTAGAATTTCCTTCAGTAGGGAATTGTTTGTGAAAAACTTTCTTGGTTTTAGTTTGTTTGAAAATGTCTATCTTACCTTCTTCTAAAAAAATAATTTCTCTGTGTTTACAATTCTAATTGGCATATATTTTCTCAATACACTGAAGATATCATTCCATTGTCTACTGCCTTCCATTATTGTGGTTCAAAAGTCAGTCATCAGCCTAATTGCAGTACTTTTCTAGGTAATCTCTTCTTCTAACTGCTGTCAAGATCTTCCCTTAGACTTTGGTATTCTATAGTTTCACTATAATGGATCTAGTGCTGTCTTTCTCTCTCTCTCTCTTTCTGTTTTGGGTTTGTTGGGATTTCTGATTCTGACAAGAAGTCATATCTTTCAGCAATTCTGAAAATTTCTTGGCCATTATTTCTTTGCATATTGCATTGTCTCCATGCTCTCTATCAAATCCTTCTGGAATTACAATTAGTTGTATGTTAGGCCTTTTCATACTAACCTCCATCTCATTTCATCTTTTTTTTCACATTTTCCAACAATACTTTTCCATATTTGATTTATCATTTTGATGAAGTCTTGCTTCTTCTTCATGTTTTAAAGACTATTTCTTTAAGCATATGAAACATACTTATTTTATGTTCTGTGTCTGATAATTCCAGTACCTGAAGTCTTCATGGACTGATTTTGTTACTTCTAATTTCATGGTTCTCATGTATGGTGCTTTGTTTATTATTTGTTTATTATTTGTGAGATTTTTGATTTGAGCTTATGTTTCTTGGAATTTTATCTGTGGGAAGTTTTTGGAGGTGAGAGAGGTCGGGATATCTATATTATTCTTAATGACTACATTTCCTGTTGGGAAGCTCCTCTTTCATGGCCCTAGGTCTTAACTGGACTGTGGTGATACTGTTTCTTCTTCCTTCCTGTAGGAGTAGTAATGGCTTCCCACTACTGCCAGTCCCTAGGCACCCCAACATTCCTTGTTAGTTCACTTAGCCTTGCTTTTTTTTTATTTAATATTTTATTGGTTTAGGTGTTATAGAGCAAATTAGTTTTTCATTCAACAAATTGTACACAAAGTGTTGCATGACATTGGTTGCAATCCCCACACTGTGTCAGCACTCTCCCCATTTCTGCCCTGAGTTCCCCATTTCCTTTTGTCTGGTTTTCCTATCCCTTACTGCCTTCTCATCTTTATTTTTGGGCAAATGTTGCCCCTTTGGTTTCATATAATTGTTTGTTCTATGGACAATGTTCTTTTTAGATGTTATTGTTTATTTTATAGGCCTGTCTATTGCTTGGCTGGAAGGTAGTTTCTGGGAATGGCTGCAGTTCCCAGTCAGAGGGGTGTCTTAGGGCCATAGTCTCGGGGGTTCCTCCAGTTTCTATTAGGCCAGTAAATCTAGTTTTTTTTTTATGAATTTGATTTTTTGTCCTATAGTTTTCTCCCACTTTGTCTAGGACCCTCTACTGTGATCCCGGTCAGAGTAGTCGTAGCTTTACTTTTTAAATAGTCCTGTTTTTGAAACATTTCTTCAAAAATATCAACAAATATATCATTTGTTTCCTGCTGGGACCCTGAGTGACACAATTTATGTAAAGAGCACTTAATAAATGTTAATTATTATTGAATTATTATTGTTATTGAGGAGATCAGCTTCTATTTAGGGAGACTTACAAGTAAGCTCAGACAAAAATAATTATGAGGCTGGGAGACAAAAGCTTCAAAAAAAGATATGTCCAGAGCACTGTGGAATGAGGGAAAATATCATCTCCATTTTCATAATCGTCTCTCAGTCTCTCAAAGGAAGCCATAAAGCTCCTCCCCAGGACACCCTATCGCCGCTTTTAGGCCTATTATTATCACTGCCCTTCTTCCCTTATCCATCCCTCCCACTTGCTTACCTTGCAGGGCCACAAAGTGAGGGAGGTACACAGCTGCCACAGCTCCTGGCTCAGCCTTGATGTTAAACAGAGGCCCTGCAACCATCCAGCTGTGCTGTGGGACAGTCCTATCCAGGAATTGGTCCCAGGCACAGAACTCAATCTCAGTGGTCAGTGCCCCTCTCACTGTGTTGGGCCAGTTGGAGCCAGCCATAGGGAAGTGAACTCTGGGAAGAACAAGAAAAGGCAGACACTAAATTACTCCATACACACTCACTGAGATCCTACTCAGTGCCAGACACTGCTGTGGGCACTGTGGCTACAAGCCTAGACTTCAAAGTTAGATGGATTAGGTTTGAGTCCCGGCTCCTCTGCTCTCTGTGGATCCCTGAAAAAGTCATTCAACCTTCCCAAGTCTCAGTGTTCTCATCTGTAAATGGGGTTTATAATAGCACCCATCTCATAAGGTTGTGAGTAATAAATCACCTCATGCATTTCAACAGCTTAACATATACCTGGGAGTGGTTATCTTCCATTATGATGATGATGATGAAATAGGCAAACGTTCTCATTTCTAAGGGGCCTATTTATCAGTTAAAGAGCTTGGCTGCTAACCAAAAGGTGGGCAGTTCAAATCCACCAGCTGCTCCTTGGAAACCCTATGGGGCAGGCCTACTCTGTCCTATAGGGTTGCCGTGAGTCAGAATCGACTCAATGCAACGGATTTGTTTTTTGTTTTATTTACCAGTAATTGATAACAATCAACATGTAATATTAATGATAAACCCTTGGAGCTGAAAACAACACTTTACAGAGATCTTAGGTGACTTTTCCAAGTCTCCGCATCTGGTAAATGGTGGGGTCCCTGGATGTGAGCTTCTGGGGGTGTAAGCTGAGAGTTACACCATTTCTCAGCTGAGATAATGCCTGTGCCAGTGTTTGGTGAATGATAAAGTGTTATATAAAAGATGATTATTACGATTATAGGCATTTATTAATTTTGAGACTGTATGCCCTTGGAGGACAGGGCTGCCATATTCATCTTAGTGTTCCCAGCCACTGTTACAGTACTTAGCAAGTAGACATTAATGAAAGAAGAGTATATATATAAAAAGGGGTTTAAACAACACTTAAGAGACATAACAAACCAAATACAATGAGTGGACCTTGCTTGGATACTGATTAGAACAAACCAACTTCAAGAACACATTTTAGACAATTGAGCAAATTTGTATATGAACTGGGTTTTAGATGATATGAAAGACTCATTGATAATTTTGTTAGATGTGATAATGACATTGTGGTTATGGAAGAAAATGTCTACTTTTCTTTTTGAAATGCATAATGAAATATTTAAGAATAAAATCATCCAATGTCGTAGATTTAAAATACTATAACAACATCAAAAAAGGAGAAGGGTGAATAGTTGACACCACTTTGGCAAAGCGGTGTTGAAGGTGAGTGACGGCTACATGGATGTTCCTTGTATTCTTTATTTTTGTGTATGTTCAAAAATTTTCACAATAAATTTTTTTTTTTTTTTTGTCCATAATAAAAAGCACAGACCCAGTAGCTCAGCCCTGTCCCTGTCTGTTGGCTTGGCAAGAGGAGGGGACCCAAGAGGAGTGGTGTGGTGCTGACTTTGTGTGGACACTCGGTGTGGGGGTGGTGGGGTGGACAGGCAGAGCCCCCCCCCCACTCACCAGCGCAGGCTCCTTTCTTAGTCAACCACCTTGGTAGCCACAGGCCCTGTGGGTCCCCAGGAGTCATCATCAGTCCCCAGAGGCTCCATGTGCAGGTCCCCCAAAGAGGCAGGAGAAGATAGGCAGAAGGATTCTACTTGAGCTTGTGGGAGCTTCCTTCTGGAACAGGCAGGGCAGTGGTTAGCTCCAGGTTCTCCTGCCTGGTCTCCCCCAGGCCCCTACAGCTAGAGCATGGAGGGGCCCTTCCCAAGGCTGTGTCTACAGCTTCCACCCCAGCTCCTGGCTGCCTACCTGATACCTGAGGAGGTCCAGCCCAATGGCCCTGACCTAGCCACTGCCCACCTCCCCTCTCCATTGGACCAGAAGTGTTGCTCTTCCCAGCATGTCCCAGGATGGTAGGTTGAAAGAGGAACATGACTGTAAAGATGGATGTGTAACGATGCAAAGGTGATTCCCAGGCCTCAGCATCCCGGAATGAACCTTGGGAGATAGGGCCCTGGTTCAGAGTCTGATACATGCCATAGACATCCTGGAGAGGAGGAGCACCAGCCCCAAGACTGGGAATGAGGGAAGCCAAAATCCTGCCATATTCTAAGAGTAAGAAGATCTTTCATGGGGAAGGGGCAGCCATCTTATCCTGGGTGGGAGAGCTGGCTTGTCCCATGTCAGAGGTAGGGGGATGGAAGTTATGACCTTCCACAGGTGCCCCATCCCCACCCCAATCACAATGCTCCCAGCCTGGTCCCTTCAAGCTACCTGTTTCTGATCTCTGAGGCTTGAGCGAGGACGTGTTATTACTCATCTCTCCCCCATCTGGGACTTCATTAGAGATCGTCATACTTTGCTTCCTAGAAAGAGAATTGTTTGTTCTCCCTGAGATCTTGGAGGGGGCTGGGCTGTCTACCCAACATTCCCATCTCAAAGTCAACTCATCTGAACTTGAACTCATGACCCCCACCCCGGGCCACTCCTGTAATCCCAGTCTCTGTGAATGGCCCACCATCCACCCAGCTGTCCATGCCAGAAACAGGGTGTTATCCTAGCTAACTGACCACCTTGGCGCTACCTCCAAGATAGCTCTCCTTTCTATTCACTTCTCTCCACCTCCATGACGTCTAACCTAGTCCTGGAACCTGCCATCTCTAGCCTGACCCATGGCAACACCCTCTTAAAAGTTTTCCTGCTTCTAGTCTTGTCTCTCTCCAATACATTTCTACCCAGAGGCTGATCTTAAAATATGACAGAGCTCATCGCTTTGTTGCTAAAGTCATTGCTTTTAAGGTAAAATGCAAAGTTCTTAATGTGATCCAAATGGCTTTGCTGTGACCCTGTCCACCCCCCAGCCCCACCAGTGCCATTCTCTCCCTGCCCACTGACCTCTAGATCAAAAAAACAAAAAAACCAAACCAGTTGCCATAGAGTGGAGTAGTGTCAATTCCAACTCATGGTGATCACATGTATGCAGAGCAGAACTGCCCATAGGGTTTTCAGGGCTGTGATCTTTTGGAAGCCAATCGCCAGCCTTTATTCTGGTGACTCTGAGTGGGTTTGAACCACGAACCTTTTGACTAATAGTTGAGCACTTAACTGTTTATGCCACCTAGGGACTCCACCTGTAGCCCGAGGTTCTCAAACTTGGTGTGCGCAGGTGGTGGGGGTTTCTCAAGGCTCTCTCTTTGTCTTTGTCTCCCTCTTGTGGTAATTTCTTTCCATTTTTCAAACAAATGGGCTCTGTTCATTGAACTAATGGACCAGTGCCCACTCTGTATCAAACCATACTGGGTACAGAGCACTCACTCACTCATACATTCATCTCCTTATTCATCTCATGGTGTTATGCATTGAATTATGTCCCCCAAATATGTGTTAGAATCCTAACCCCTATCCCTGTGGATGTAATGGATTGTAATCGCCTTCCATAATGCAATCTAATGTTGTGATAATGAGGCCATAGCAGTAGGGTGTGTTCTGAAGATAATCATGTCTGAGTTATGAAAAGAACAGATTAGACACAGAGACAAAAAAGCACAAACGTGGGAAGATAGACGCCATGTGAAGATCACCAAGGAACTGAGGGACACTGGGGCTATAGAAGCTGAGACAAGGGTCTAACCCCAGAGCCAACAGAGAGGGAGTGTCTTCCCCTATAGCTGGTGCCCTGAATTCAGACTTCTAGCCTCCTGAACTGTGAGAAAATAAATTTGTGTTCTTTAAAGCCCACCCACTTATGGTATTTGTGTTATAGCAGCACTGCATAACTAAGACACATGGAAAGGTTTAAAAGCAGAGTTGTGACACAATAGTATTTGCATGAAACAAACTACAAAACAAACCTCACTCTGGCTGCTGTTCTCTCGGTCTCTCCTGGACTCTTGATTTCTTCCCCGGTTCTGTCTGTCTTTCCCCACCACAAGTCTCTTTCCCCACCTCCTCGTTCTGGACCAACCTCATGGTCACAGCCCTGGGTCTGGGTCCCCTTTACCATCTGCTGGAGACAAGTAACTGAGGCTTCTCCTTCTCTGGGGCCCTCAGCTTCCTGATCACCTCGTCACTCAGATGGGTCCAGTCCAGCCTGCAAGGAAAAAGGAATCCTGGTTCTCCTGGGATCCCCTCCACGAACCCAAGGTCTTCACGGCCCAGAACCCTGGAATCTGTTACCTCCTGCAGGAACCTGTTGCAGGGTGGGTTCCCTGGGAATCAGGCTCTGGGAGGAAGATTAGAATGCAGAGGTTGATGAGGGAGTGCTGCTGGGTCAACACCAGTAGAATGGAAGGGAAGGAACAGGACTGGGCAGAGGGAGAAGTTGGGCGGTGGTGTAGTCTCAGTGGAGGCCCTGGCCAACTCTGTGGGGAGTTCTCAAACCATGATGAGCTTTGAATGGTTGGGACCAGGGGGCCAGACTTTTATACCACCACAGCCATTGGATGCAAGCCATCCAAGTTCACACAGCATAAGTGGTGGAGCTGGTAAGGAACCCAGGCTGACTATGTGTCTATCTATCCCTTTTCCTTCCTCTGTCCAATTCCACAGCACCTGCACCCCCCACCATCCCACCATCCTCCCCTGCCCTCTGCCCATAAAGAACCCACAGGGCCTCACCACAGGAGCTTGAATTGGCAGCTGGGATGCTGCAGCCCCTTGCACTGCAGCCTCACACCTAGGCTGCCCAGGTCGTTCTGTCTCAGGTGGAGCTCTGTCAGGCTGGGGCTGGCTCTGAGCACAGAAGCCAGGTCCTGGACGTGAGGCTGCAGCTGACCAGCCTGCAGCAGAAAGGCACATGTGTCCCCAGCCACTGTCTCAAGGGCTCCCTCTTCTGGATCTGGAGTCTAGGTGTGACCCTTTGGGGGTCTTGGGGTGACTTTAAAGGAAGATAAAGACTTCCCTGTCTTGCAATAATGTGGGAGATTCTGATCTCCCTTCTGCAGCCAAGAGGCTCCTCGGAATGCTAGCAACTCCCCTTTCTCACTCCGTGTGACATACATGGATCCTGCCCATTCACAGTATCAACCTTGTATGATTAATTTGCGCTCTGTTCCACTTGTATGCTTCAGTCTAATTGTTAACCACATAGGTGGTTGAGGTGCAAGTCAATATGGCCCTCCAGACTCCCAGGATGGGACAGACACAGAAACAAATAACAGTAAGTCAGTTTTCAAATCTCTTCTGACCAAAACCCTCCAGTGTCTTCTAGCTCCATACTCACTGTCCCATACCTCAGGGCCTTTGCACCTGTAATTTCCTCTGCTTGGAACAATTCTCTTACCAGGCATCTCATGGCTTGTGCCCTCATCTTCTTCAGATCTTTGTTCAAAAGTCACCTTGGTAAAATCTTTCCACACCACCCTCCCTATTTCCACACCACCCTCCCTATTTTAAAATTGCACCGTCACCAACAGCTTCCCTACTTCTTCTGTCTGCTTTACTTTTCTCTATAGCCCATGGAAGTACCTGGAAGAAGTACAGCCAGAATTCTCCTTAGAAGCGAGGATGGCAAGACTTCATCTCACATACTTTGAACATGTTATCAGGAGGGACCAGTCCTTGGAGAAGGACATCATGCTTGGCAAAATAGAAGGTCAGGGAAAAAGAGGAAGACGCTTAATGAGGTGGATTGACATACTGGCTGCAACAATGGGCTCAAGCATAACAATCATGAGGATAGTGCAGGACCGGGCAGTGTTTCGTTCTGTTGTAGGTAGGGTTGCTATGAGTCGGAACCCACTTGACAGCACCCAACAACAACAACAATAAGAGTTCTCCAAGATGGGAATGGAGAGAGGGGGAATTCCAGGTTGGCAGAGTGGATGTGAAATTACATGTGTTTAGTATGATGATGTAGCCCCAGTGGCGCAGTAGTTAAGAGCTCGACAGCTAACCAAAAGGTCGGCATTTCGAATCCTCCTTGAAAACCCTATTGAGCAGTTCTAGTCTGTCCTCTAGGGTCACTATGAGTCAAAATAGACTCGACTGCAATGGGTTTGGTTTTAGTATGGCGATGATGGCAAGAAGGCTATATGGAGGAGATGATGTTTGAAGGTAAAGCTAGAAAAATATCAAGATGGTGGAGGATCTTGAATGTCATTATAAGATGTTTGGATCTTATTCAGGTGGCAGTAAAGAGCCAGCGGAAGTTCTTGAGGAGAGTAGTGGTGTGATCTTTGCATTGTTTTAGAAATCTCCCTAACAGTGTGTGGAGGATGATTGGATGGGGCAAGGTAGGAAGCAGGGTGGTCCAGGTGAGAAAGAACGAGAGCCTGGGTTAGAATGTCAGCTGTAGAGAGATGTTTCAGGTAGACTCAACTGGATGTGGGGGCCAGGGAGGTTTCCAAATAGGATAAGGGAATTGATGCCATGTAAGAGAGAGTGGATGCAAGAGGAAGCAGAGTCAGCTTGACAGGCATTTGACCAGCACAGTGGCATAGGGTGCTGTGCTTTTAAGGGCTCTGTGCTTGGAGTTTAATGCTCTGTGGTTTCCATCTTGAAATTCTTAATAATTTTATCTTTGAATTTGTGTTTTGTAAGTGAACTCTGATGGGAGAGTGGAGCCTGCACTAGGGACTGGGAGCCTTGGCTCATGTGTGATCCTACCTCCTTCCACCTCCCTGCCTCTCCAGAAAGGGCTCTTGGCTGCCTGCTCTGCTATCCCCTGGCACTTCTTCTCCCCACCCCTGCCCAGTGACTGATGCTGTGCTCTGTCCCTGGTGGGGGCCTGGGTACATGCATTGGAGGGTTGGGGTTGGGTGTGCATGCCCTGCGACATCTTGGAGTGGGGCATGGTGGAAGCCGTCCCTGCCCTGGGCTGGCAGCACCATGGTGCATTTGGTGGGTGACTTGCTAGGGGCAAGCCTCTCACCTACTCCTGATCCAGGTACCTGGTGCGTTACAGCAATACTCTTGGAGGGAGGGCTCCCATCTGCTGTGGGTTGGGCTGGTGGAGCTATGGGAACAAGTGAATGAGTGAGTCACAGGTGATTAATTTTGCCAAAGGGAAGGGAAAATGGGGCTGGAGGAGAAGACATATAAGTTGTGGTTGAACGATGAGTAGGAGTTCTCCAGGATAGGGGTGGAGAGACGGGCATTCCAGGCTGGAATGACTTCTTCACCCCCACCGAGGCATGGTGTGTGGGTCTGGTGGCTGGTGAGAGGGGAAACGTGGCATCTGCTGGGCCCTGTGTGTAGGCTGAGTTGTAGGGCAGGGTCCCTGGGCACGTTTGAGGGTCTACACTTGCCCTGGAGTATTCCCCTGCCCAAGAAATTCAATATTAAAAAGCCAATAAAAAAGACCATGACAGGTTGAAAGACAGAGCAGAAAGAAAGAAAAAAGCTGTATATTTTAGTACATTTAACAGCACTTTCTTCCGTTTTTTTTTTTTTAAATTGTACTTTAGATGAAGGTTTACAGAAAAAACTAGCTTCTCATTGAACAATTAGTACACATATTGTTTTGTGACATTGGTTGCCAACTCCATGACGTGTCAACACTCTCCGTTCTCGACCTTGGGTTCCCTATTACCAGCTTTCCTGTCCCCTCCTGCCTTCTAGTCCTTGCCCTTGGGCTGGTGTGCCCATATGGTCTCATTTTGTTTTATGGACCTGTCTAATGTTTGGCTGAAGGGTGAGCTTCATTACTGAGCTAAAAGGGTGTCCGGGGGCCATACTCTCGGGGTTTCTCCAGTCTCTGTCAGACCAGTAAGTCTGATCTTTTTTTTTTCTTGGTGAGTTAGAATTTTGTTCTACATTTTTCTCCAGCTCTGTCCGGGACCCTCTATTGTGATCCCTGTCAGAACAGTCGGTGGTGGTAGCCGGGCACCATCCAGTTGTGCTGGATTCAGTCTGGTGGAGGCTCCTTCTGCCTTTTGAAAAAAGGCCACTGCATTTTGTCTTTGTACTGGGTCCTGCAACTATGTGGCTGGTCCTGGGAGGAGGAGCAGGTTTTCTTTAGTTAGGGAGGAAAGACTAGTTTACAGTAGTCTGTGTCTGAGGAACCTCTGGGACATACAGGAGGAGGGTGTTGGCTTAGGCGCTCAGCATAGAAGTTCAGGCTGCAGAGGGAGGGTTGGCAGGCACCACAGGGAGGGGGCATCAGAGGTGATAGTGGGGACTCTGCAGAGAGCATGAGAAGGGAGGAGGCTGAAGGTGGAGCTTGGTCACTTTTCTCCTGGTTGGAAGTCAAAGATGCCCCATTCTAAAATCCCTGTTTCCCCTTGCTCCCCCTTTCTTGTTTTAACTGGCTTCATTTTGGACTTCCCTACTCAGCCTGGGCCATGAGTCTGTTGTTGGAACAGAACTAGGGGATACTGTGTGGTATAAAATCAGAAAAGATGTGTGCCAGGATTGTATCCTTCCACCATAAGTATTCAGTACGTATGCTGAGCAAATAACCTGAGCAGCTAGACTATATGAAGAAAAACATGGTATTAGATTGGGGGAAGACTCATTAACAACCTGTGATATGCAGATGACACAACCTTGCTTGCAGAAAATGAAGAGGACTTGAAGCACTTACTGATGAAGATCAAAGACTACAGCCTCCAGCAGTATGGATTACACCTCAACATAAAGAACACAAAGTCCTCACAACTGAACCTAAAGCAACATCATGATTAACAGAGAAAAGATTGAAGTTGTCAAGGATTTCATTTTACTTGGATCAACAGTCAATGCCAATGGAAGAAGCAGCCAAGAAATCAAATAATGTATTTATTGCATTGGACAAATCTGCTGCAAAAGACCTCTTTAAAGTGTTGAAAAGTAAAGATGTCACTTTGATGACTAAGGTCTGACCCAAGCCATGGTATTTTCAATGACCTCATATGCATGTGAAAGCTGGACAATGAAAAAGGAAGACCGAAGAATTGATGCCTTTGAATTATGGTGTTGGCGAAGAATATTGAATATACCATAGACTGCTAGAAGAATGAACAAATCTGTCTTGGAAAAAGTACAGCCGGAATGCACATTAGAAGTGACAATGGTGAGATGTCATCTCGCTTACTTTGGACATTTTATCAGGAGGGACCAATCCCTGGAGAAGGACATCATGCCTGGTAAAGTGGAGAGTCAGTGAAAAAGAGGAAGACGCTCCATGAGATGGATTGACACAGTTGGCTGCAACTCCGGGCTCAAGCATACCTACGATAATAAGGATGGCACAGGACCAAGCAACGTTTTATTCCGTTATACATGGGGTTGCTATGAGTTGGAAGTGACTTGACGGCACCTAACAACATCAACAATAACCCAGCCTGTGGAGTCCCTGGGTAGTGCAAATGGTTAATGCACTCGGCTGCTAACTGAAAGTTTGGAAGTTCAAGTCTACCCAGAGGCACCTCATAAGAAAGACCTGGTGATTTACTTCTGAAAAATCAGTCATTGAAAACGCTGTGGAGCACAGTTCTACTCTGACACACGTGGGGTCGCTATGAGTTGGAGTTGACTTAATGGCAACTGGTTTTTGGTTTACCCAGTCTGGAATCCAAGGTCAGCTGTATCAAAGCCATGTCCCAGTACCTGGGGTTTTAGAGCGTCGTCGGCCTTTGGTTATGTCTCCCTGGACAATCTCTGTCTTCCTTCTCTGCCCCCAACCCAGAGCTGCAGAGTGTGGCCCAAGAAAGTCAGGGATGCAGCTGGCAGTTGTCCCTATAGTTGTGGCTCTGTGCCCCTCCCCTGCCACATCTCATGGCTGAGGGCTTCCTTCCCAGCTGGCTGCCTGCTGCCAGCCTGCACCCTCCCTGGCTGACAGGCTCCACCTGCCTGGCCC